TGTATTTGCTACATCAGCTTTTTTTCATGAAGTAAGTATGTTGTAACTCAAATGTACATGTATAATTATACCTTTGGCCGACTTATACCGGAGATAATAACTGACTGCAAAGTGTAAGAGTTTCAGACAATAGTTGTTTGTTTGGGCATATACAGGTCTTACTAATCTTAACTTTTAACTTGTTCTCTTCTTAAGCTCTATCTGAAGTCCTATGCATTCAGGGTATTGCATCTAAAGTTATCTGTATTTGTCTGATTAATACCCTGGTATGTCTCACTTCACTTTGCCAAGAAACCAGAAGAATACTGCAAAAATAAATAGCATCAATCTCATCAGAAAAAAAACAACTATGGAAGCACAAGGGAATCAGTATTCTAGAATGTTTCCAGCACTTTCCACTGGTTGACAGAAATTACTTACTGTATTTAACTGCTATAGTAGAGAGATGTCCTTGACATTATAATTTGTATTTAGCACACAGACTGAAGTAGTGGGTTGGGCTCCTTCAGGGGAACCATCATGTCACACTCCAGTGATTAAAAACATTCAACAGTAGAAGGTAGATGTCCCTGCCTGTCCATTACACACCATGCATGCCTTTAGGCACCGTATATGGACAAAAGCTCCGGTGACAAACTGTGTCTGTCAGCATACCATCAGTTTTACATCTCCGACCGACTTCCATATTCCCGAGCCGCGTGAACTCTGGTTCTCTGGTAAGTGTTGGCAGAACCTTTGAGAGTATTTACCTGCCATACTGTCTGACAATTCCACCGTGAGTTTAGCCTTCAGCGCGAAATTATTTTTACCCAATGGATGCAAACACACGGTTATTGATGTGGCCCCACAGACATCGGGGCCTGCATAAGTGCCTGCTGGAAACCGCTAAGTGCAAAGTGGCTGCTGAGTAAAGCCCACACATGAGAGCTTTCATCACATGTGCCTCGCTCTCGGTATGAGATCAATGTAATTGCTGTGCTGGAACACTGGATAAACACCAAACTTCAATGACAGTGGTGTATTATTCATCAGCATTGAGTTCCATGTGCTAAGCACTGTCATCAATACAAACCCCAAGGTGTTCCTGTACTTTTCTACCACTTAGCTGTGTACGAAGTAAAGACGGTCCTTAAGCAGCTAATATCAATGTTTATCATGCTATGTGCCCACGCAAGGTGTGTAACTGAGAACATTCAGGGTCATGTATGAGAGCAAACTTGCCATTTCCAGCTCTAATGTGCTGCAGATCATTCTGAATCCCATGATTCACTGTTGCAAACTTTTTTATCTTGAACATTTGATCCTCAGGTAAGACCAGGATGGTTATTCAAAATACCAGTACTCTACAAGACCTTATTCTCCATTTGTCTTGCATGTTCACACTGACATCAGGGAGAGAGAGGAAACTGACCCAAACCCACATGAAAGATTGTTGTATTTCCTGGCTCACAAAAGACTAAATTTTCCAAGCAACAATCTTTAACGCCTTGCCATCATTCTCTCACTAGCGTTTAAAAGGTCGACTGAGTGAAGTGACATGCTCATTGCTTCTTATGAATCTCACAACCAACAAAACTGTTTTCAACACAAGACGCCCATGCTGCATGCTGACATTTACTTGATTGAAACCACAAAGTAAATCTCTATTATCCTAAACAATGTTAAATGATTTGAAAGGGTTGCTATAGGGTTATTGACCTAGACTTGTATCAATTTGTTTTCCTTTAGGTGAAAATTGACCTCATTTTCAGCTTTTAAAACAAGATAAATTCAAAGCCTTGAGGGAAAGTGTCCATACCACCTTCAATCCCCATTTTGCATGCCTAGCAAGTTGTCTCATCCACATGCAGTTTCCAGTTTCAAGCCACAATGTCTTTCTACCTGTAGTTTTCCCAAGGCTAAAGTCTTTTATTCCCCGCTTGGTTTTACCAGATAAGCACTCCCGTTGGTTTGAAGGATCGTTCCGAAGAACTACAAGTTGAAATTGAGTTTTTGTGGTATCCTGCTCACTCTATAACACGAAATTGGAAGATACTTTACCCATAACTGATACTTATACATCACAATTTACGACCATAAAATTCTCGAGATCTCATCCCTGGATATCATAAGTTTACTCTGTGCATGACAGTTGAGGGACATCTCTGAAGCCAATTCTGACAGATATTGATGAACTACTCGGTTAGTCAGATATCTCATTTTTCTTACAGCACTTTGTTGTCATGTATTATAACACCAGATCTGAAGTTTTTCCCACTGCCCATCACATGCAACTAATACCTTTCAATTTCTCACAGGGAAATGAATTATTGGTTAAACTTTTACTTTACATTGAAACTTCTTGGAATATCTCAGTTAGAGCAAATTTGCCATGCATTTGCTGCTAAAAGTGCTCAGGGCAATATAATATAATGACCATTTACCAGGCATGTACTTAAAGGCGTATTACCTCAAATGGACCATACTTTTTGGAGCTCAGATGTCAATGCTAGGATGTAAAGACATTCCTCTTTTCCAAGTTAAAACAAATGTTGACCATTTTTTGGGCCATGCATGTTGACCTAGAGGTACATGTTACTGGGCAGATACTAGTACATGTATACCAGTAGTCTCAGGATGCTGGAAGTATAATCTGCATCATTTTCATCACTGTTGTATCATATTTTAGTATTTAATTTTGTGGTGGTAATGTACTGGAATATTTCATTGGCATTTACGTTATGGGTTCCCCATTAAACCCTCCATTTGCCTCATGGCATTATTGGCAATAGATTTTTGGTTGCAGATTTTGTGAGGGTATGTTTTGCTTGTAAGATTCTAATCCTGATAACAGAAAATTCGATGAAAAGTTATTGTTAAAGATCTTGAAGTCAGGTGCCAGCAAGTACCTATCTGCAACAATTCCAAATTGAATTGATCTTCAAAATCAATGTCCAATAGACCACCTGGCTGCACGGTTTTTGGCGGTACAATAAAAAAAATGCCGAAAACTACTGAAATGGTGGCCAGTCAGAGAGAAGAGTACTTAAATGAGTTTTGTCTGTTGTTGAAATGATACAAACCTGACCTGACAGGACAATGTTTCCCTCTACTATTGAGAACCTTCCTGAGTTCAAGAACTCTACGGTACGTTGGCTGCGTGACGAACTTTTGGACTTAAAATCTGACAATGTGAACAAGTTAGGTTTTATCACAAGATCCCTCTGGAGCTCGAAAATCCCGGCTTTGAGTCAAGGGACCCAGCCAACGGCCTCCTGTTGTCAACCTTGGCAGCATAGAAGTGGCGTCAGACAAATTTGATTAGCTCATGATCACATCCTGGAAAGCAGGATTGACAATAAATCCCCTCAGTTACCAGAATGCTCCCTGCAGTTGAAGCTAGGGCTTGACTTAGAATGGCAAACTGCTGAATGAGTTAGACTAAAATAAGTGCTGGGCTTACAGTGGTGTTAAGTAGGCTCAGACACTTGCCTGTTTGTATTTGATAACCTTTGACACTGTACACACTGCATGGCACTAACATTTTATCAAATACTGGGGGATTTAACATTTTCAAGCTTTTACGGTAACCATGCAACTCCAACAAGAAATCAGAGATTTCAGACTTCCGGGATGTATTGGAGGGTTCATCATGCAATCCAGGCTTACTAAATTCCCTTCTTCATGCTGTTTCCCAGCCAGAGCCATTTTCCGTGTCTGACCTTTTGACCTATCATTCTGCCTGTCAATCTTCCCAAACCCACATGCTGTCAACCTACTCTGTGGACAAACAGACACACAAACTCACAGCTCAACCAAAAGAATACTTCTGTCTGTGCCTGGA